CCGACCAATCAATCAATCAATCAATCAATCAACCAATCAATCAATCAATCAATCCATCAATCAATCAATATTTTTTTTTTCAATTTTTTTTTTTTCACACACCAAAAACCACCCCCCTGAAAATAATTTCTTTTAACTTTTTTTGTTCAAGGGGGTGGGGTCGAGGTTCCGGAACCCCAATCCGCAACCCCCTTCCCCATCCCCCTCCCCTTGGTGTGCGGGCCGCGGTCGTGCCCGCGGCGACCGCGTCCGCGGTGGATTCATAGACAACAATTGCATTGACCGCAAATGGATGAGCAGATCCTAATCGTTGGTAACGAAAAAGGCCACGTCTATCATTTCTGCCTTATTTGGAAGTGATAGTAGGGCTTAAACTTCCCAAAAGGGTACCGAAGGGGCATACACACTAGCAGTTCTCTGGATGCATTGCACCGGAAGCTGGGCCACATTGCACTCAAAAAGATCTTAGTGCAAGTACACCCCAAGTGGGCATAATGTGGTGATTCTGCTGTACATTGCTGCAGACCGTTCTGCTTCAATCAGCACATGTGACGCCATTTTGCATTTTGCAATTTGAGAAGTGATCAGAAATCGTATTTAGTGAAGGTTGAAAATAGGCCAGTTGTTGACTCTGCTCTTCTCTCCATACTGGTAACGAACTGCATTCCTTCCCCCCTCCCCCCCTCGCCCCCCCCGCCGCCCCCCCCCCTGCCTTATTTATGGAAATTACTCTTCCACAGTATGTGCGCATGCGCTATCGTTGTCACCAACATAAAGTGACACTGTTTTGTTGTGTTGTGGTGGTTTGCCCGTGTAGTTGGTGAATGCTCCAGCAGGGAAGAAAGCAGAAGGGACGAGCGCAGGAGCATCAAGACAACCTGTGGCCACTGGTGCTAGTGCTGGCGGTGGCGGTGATGGTGAGGATGATGGGATTGGCATGGATCTTCAAGCTCGCCTTGATAATCTTCGTAAACTGTAGGGTGTTTGCGGCATACAGAATACAACAAAGCTTCTTTTATTCCGGGTTTCCCGACCAGCTCACGAAGAAAGATTGAAAGACTGAAGTGTGTTTACCTGCCTGGGTTGCTGCCTGGACTCTCCTCAAGTATGATCTTGAAAGTGCCGTATGGTCATGGCCATATGTGGCCAATTGCTTGGGCAGCTCGTGTCACGCTTTTGAAGACGATACACGCTAGAGGAGTGGAGGGTAAGGAGGAAAGACCAATAGCGGGCGATTGGTGTTTTGCAAGCCATGGCTTTGTGGTCTTTTCCTTTTCAATACTACTTTGTTGTGGCTCGTGATTTGGGTGTTTTTTTTTTTTTTTCCCTAATGCTCAAGGAGCTTAGGAAGGAGATGCGAAGTGGGCAGTGGATTGCAGTAGAAATCGGGGGTCTCGTGGGTGAAGAATCTGAAGATGAAGGCAAAGCTGATCAGAGGGGTAGGAGTCGCACGCGACAATGAACAGGGCATCAAGGGCAACAAATTGAGGTGGCTAGGCTTACTCACTGTACAAAATCTGCATTTGTATATGGTATGATCGACTCCTGTTTTTTTTTTTTTTTTTTTTTTTTTTCCTGGTTAATGTATCTGTATTCATAGGGAGAAGTATCAGAGAGTCATTAATCTGGGAGTTGAAGGTGTTGGAGTAGGCGATAAAAGCGAAGGAAGGTGTGGAAGCCAGATTTCTAGGCTGGGCTTCAATCGTTACCTGTGGAAGTGATTTTGTTGGGGATGTTATTCTTGCAATGGCTTGACATTATTATGTGCGGTGTTTGTTAGTAGCAGCACACGGGAGGAAGTGCAGTTCAGAAGTCTGTGGAGCACACATGCAGGTGGGCATGCGAGTTACGCAACGCGCAGCAGGCAGGACGGTACGTTGAAGGTATTCGATTGTTCAGTTGGCGTTGGGCTGCAAGATGTTTCTTGTATTGTTCATTTAGCAGTGGGGTGCAAGATATGTCTTGTATTGTTCATTCAAACACAGCAGCAGGCAGAATGGTAGGCTGAAGGTATTTGATTGTTCAGTTGGTGGTGGGCTGCGACATGTTTCTTGTATCTGTTCATTATTTCATAAGGGTCCTACATCATGCTTGGTATTGCGCAAGAAAGGGAGAGGAAATGGAGAGCACAGGAGTGTGGTGAAGGGTGGACGTGGTTATAAACTGTGCTGCCGAAGCATCTGAAGCACATTTTGTCGGATTATAAAAGAAGTAAAGAAGGGGTGCTCTCATGAATGGCGGAAGAACGATGCAAAAAGCATTCCTTCGATTGTTTACCTCTCATAGCATTACGGAACTTGGAAGCTGTGGACTTCTCAACCTATGGATCAACAGTTGGTGGTCTGGGGAGAGAGAGAAGGGGGGGGGGGGGGGGGGGGG